AATCTGTGGATGATACAACATCAGGACCATCTTTAGAAGTAATAACAACACTCACCTTAAGATCAAGGATGCAGCACACATAGCATTAGCTACTAATCACATCAGTAAGCCAAGTGTAGACAGAAACTCGATATGGCTCCCAGTATTACGAAGAAAATGAGACAAAAAATAATAGAGGTACTTCCAAAACATCTAAAAAAAGTATCACCTTGATAGCCAAGCGGTTGGAGTACCCATATTCGAGGTCATAGGCTCGGCGGTTCGAATCCTGGTAATTCCATATAAAAGCTTTCTGGTTGTGACACATCACCTGACGACGTGCGGAAAATTCACTGGTCGAAACGTTCTGAATATAATAATACACATCATAAAGACGAGAATAGTAGTCCGAATAATCATACCATTAGTAACATTGAGTTGTATTTGTAATTTCTTCATGTTTTTACAAGGTAAGCTTATTCATTAGTAATCGCTATCTTGGGAAGAGAGAGGTGGAAAACTCAAATAAAATGTATCGTTTGCGCCATCTCGTACTGGATTTTTTTGCACCTTTGGTATAGAGTCATGATTTAACTTAGCACAACCTGTGATTGTTAATTTTCAAAAGCTAGTGAACTTTCATGTACAATTATATTTAATGTATAAACAAAGTGCTACTTTGTATACAAAGTTCAGATTTGTTGCTTTTTCAATAGTTTAACAACAAAGCATATTTCACGCTTTTAGAAAGGCCTCACTTTTTTTCTTTTATAAATGAACAACACCTCGCAACAACAATAACTTCACGCACGAAATAAGAAAGAAAATAATGAATTAAAGTATCATACTATCTTATTGCAAGTTACAGCTTTTACAGTAAGGAAGATTTGTGTTTAGAGTAGGTGCGACGTTTCAATCACATGTGCGCTCATTCTCAAGTACACAAGTTTTGACCATACCAGTAATCGAAACGTCATACCTGTTTTTAAAACAAATATTCTTTATTGTAAAAGCTGTAACTTGGAATAAAATAATACTTAATCAGTAAATAAACTAAAAAAAGAAAATATTAAAGTGAAATACTGTTTTGCTTTTATTTTGTAGTATCCCATTTGACTTTCAATTTGAAGTCTCAAATTTGATAACATAACCACAAACATTGACGTATCTTACTTACACTAACAGATATCCTTTACATTATACATTCTATAAATCCTTTTTTTATCCTACACTTTGTTAATTTTTTGTTTGATTTTTATAGCAGCAGGTGAAAATAATTAGATAGTCTTTTGTTTTCAGTGTTCGTATTCTGCTGTTTTCGTCCATATGTTAGTGTTAGTGTCAGTGTTAATTTTATTTTTCCAGTTTTCCTGATTCACGTTTATATTAGTATTAGGACACAATCATGTATATTTTTAATATAATATTAAAATGTTTCATTTTAGTAGTCTAAAAAAAATGTACGATAATATAAGATGAAAACTAATGAGATTAGGGATGTATCCGGATAAGAAAACTTTGCCGGCATCATGTCAAGGACTATTTTACTTACATTGATTCTAAGTATTTTTTTTAATTTAGGAAAAACTTAAAAACCATATGTCCAAAATTTTGAAATGCTCTAAGTGTTAGAAATAAATCGTTTGCATTGCTATTAGTAAAGTAAACATTTTTTTTGAAATTATATAAAAACTGTTTTACCTGAATTGAAACAAAAGTACTGATATGGTTTTAACTTTATGATACCTTTGAAACAATAAACACACTTATTAATTAACTTAAGGGATTATCTTTTCGTTTAAACCTTGATATGTTTATTGTTTTCAGAAGAAGATATAGAAGAACCAAAGCTCACTGTTTTGACAAAACAGCATAAATCAGCTATCAGAGCTGTACGAAAGGTATGAATGGTTTGTTATTTCAATAACTTGAAGCTATTGTATATTTTCAAAAATATACCCTTACCCGGACCTATTTGACAGAGCTAAAAACATATAAGGAAGGTAAGGTGCAAAGATGTGTTTTCTGAAGGTTAAAATGATAATGATAAGCAAACGGAAAACGTTATGAAATAATATATGAATGATTATTTTGTTCTTTTTAGATAAAATACTTCGTTGCAAGGAGGAAGTTCAAGGAGGCTTTGAAACCTTACGATGTCAAAGATGTAATTGAACAATACTCATCTAGTCACGTGGACCTTTTGGGCAGAGTTAAAAACGTACAGGGAAGGTAAGGTATAAAAATGTTAAGTGATAACATTTGTTTAGTACAGGGAGTAAACAGGTTTATAGGTGCGACTTTATATGTATTTATATAAATGATTGTTAATAATGATTTATTTTGAGCAAGAATTTTGAAGTCTGAATAATAATTCATTTTCTGAATGCAACTAAACATTTATCATTGCATTTGTGAGTATTGTTTGAGTGTTAGGCTTCTATAAATTTGTACGTAAATAATTAATTGTAGGCATCTTAATATGTAAAGAACATGTATATTTTAGGTTTTTCTCTTGAATTGGACATGTAATTACCACGTTCTGTTTTTATGGAAACAAAAATATCACTTTTATTTACTTTTATATTATTTGTACGTCCAAAACCAGTTAATGTAAAAAACTCGTTTTTTGTTATTGTAAAACGTGATTAAAAACATCAATTCAACTTTATGTTGTATTCTTATAGGTTAGACCTAATTCTAGGAAAATCAAGCTCAACAGGAAAAGATGTATATCAGCCTATAATCAGTTTAGCTTCCAGAATAGTGAAAGTAGAGAGATCGGTAGGTTTTTTTTTTGTTTGTTTGTTTATGAGTACTTCAGGGTTGCTTTTACTTCTCTAAAGTATCGGATTGATAATAATTATTAACATTTTTGTAATCATGAACGAGAGAGAAAATATTTACCGCTTCGAGAAAAAAAATTAAGATTTCCAATCTCCCAATCCTACTGTAAACTGTTTAGTTTCATTAGCTCCTTCTGATCAAGTGGGCCTGAAGTTAACAGCAAACGTAAGTATTCTCCTATGTATATTTCCTGCTTTGATGCTCATTCACAATTCTAGTTTAAAGCTGATTTTTTTTCTGATATTGATTTATGTATAAAATAATAGAAATACACATTTCTATTTTTATAGAAAGATTGTCAGATCTTACACCCTGATGAAATTATATCATAGAAAATGTTAATTTATAAAACTTGTTATAAAATTAACTTAATGTTGTATGATTGCATTTAAGATTGGCAAACAACTTGTTTTACCTAAGTATAAAGTATCATATTAAAAGTTTATATATATATATATATATATATTGTTACAGATTGAAGATATCGAGAATAAATTAGACCAGTTCGTGGAAATGTACTTAAAAGACAGAGGGCGTTGGATTTCAACTGTGACACTCAACAACTTCTCGCCCTCACTATCACACTCCACAATGACTTTAGCAACCACTAAAATTCCCACCTCCCGCATTAACCTTTCATTCTACCCACAGTCCCGAAATTAATTTATAACTTTACAGAAAAACAGCCGAGTGAACCAAACATCCCTGTAATAAAGAACATAATTGGGCCCATGCAGCGTGGAAATTCAGACTTGAGTCAGAGGCTGAAAAAGCGTGTTGCTTTGTGTCATTCTCTCGACACGAGCATAATTGTAGCTGGAAAGTCGCAGAGATCAACTGACATTGACTCGTTTTTAGCGTTGTGTTCTAGTATAAGAGTTAATTCAGAAAAGATTCTCAGAGTACACTATTATCATGGATAGATTCGGTAAGGACTATATATCCTCCTAGGTTAGTAGAAGTTGAATCTCCAGCAGCGACCGAGGGAGATATCGATTCTTGTCTTGAGGATACGAAGTTAGAGATATCTTAAAGCCAGAAGAAAATGAGAAAGCCAACTCCGACTGTCACACCAATACTACTACAGCTGTCTTACTTTAAAAGGGGTTTCAATGGGTCAACAGGTACGATATTTGAAAGCGTAACTTGAAGGCGACTTCTTGTGGTATTCTTAGAAACATCATTCTTTTAGGAAGAATTTCTAGATGTGTACATACAAACATTTACATCTTGCTCCAAATATGATGGCAGCATAGATATCACAATATCTTTTTAGAATATATCAAATAAAGAAACAATTGCGAGAAACGAAACTCAGCACGACTGTGTTGTTTTGCCATGTTCTCTGGAACTTTACTTTAAAGTATGTACACACAGATACTTATTCCATTAATAACACATTTTCATTCAGATTTCATTTCATCCACTCACCTTGCACCCGTGATTGGCTTTTTTTGTGGTCAAAGTAATCATCGACGATCTAGAGCTGAAGTTGTCATTATCAACAAAACTGCAGAATCTCAGGGATATTTAGCATGTTCGACACATTTTTAACGATCTTAGTAATTTACTAGAGCTATAACACACAAGCTTGATATATATTTCTATACAAGTAACATTAGAATATCTTTACTTTCTGGAATGTAGGGGTGATCTGTTTTCTTCGGAAATGTGAACATTATTCTCTCAGTACTTAGGTGATAAACTAGATAATGATATTATGAAACTTTAGTCTATGTAATTTATATTTTTGCATCAAAATAATGTATTAGTAATTCAGTTGAGATTCTGTATATTGCTAGCACTGTTACCATTATGTGTTGATTGTCTTTAGAGAGGTTTTATTTTGATATGATCTGTAACCTAAAAATGTGAATGGCTATTGTTCTTTCATTTAATCACAGTTGACTTTCCCTTATACAAAAAGGCTGATAACCTTGTTTTTTTTCATTAATTACTTTAGAGCTGAAATTTTATTCCTAGAAAAAATAAAAGTATAGATATGTATTAGAGAAATACTGTGAATGCAGTAAACAATTCATGCTAACCTCACAGATGCCTTATTCTATAGCAAATGAAAACATTTTGTGGGAAACTAACGCTCCGTGCCAGTGGTACTTATTGACAGTGCACTATATTCTTTGCCAAAACAACCGCTTGTTGCTTGATTTCATAAAATTGGTTTAATCTTCTTAGCGGTTACATATCACCATCACATATTTATATTTCAATATGCATACATACGAATTCATAATCTTATTTTATATTTTTCACTCACAGAGCCGTAATAACTTTGGTGTATAAAAATGCGTTTCGGTTTATACCTTTAACCAATATTTTAAACGTATGTAAATCAAAATAAATCTACTACTGTATATTCATATTTAAATATGTTTCTTTTTGAATGTTTCCATTTTACAGCTATTTTAAGCTCTATTAGGTTTAGGACATTATGTTTGATGGGTGGTATAGGCCATGTATCTGTGATATATGAGGCATTTTTTTTATGGGTAACAACACTCTGGTTGACACATATTGATTTTTCAGGTACGGGAAAAGGAAGTTACCGAAACGTCGAGATGTATCAATTATCGCTATCACATATTGTTGCTGCCCTTAAAGAAACGTCATTACATAGGACAGTATGTTCTAAATTTTGATTTGGTATACGATGTAAATGACAAATTTATCATATGATATAAAATCCGGGTAGCGGACGCTTTTAAAACTTGGTAAATTAACAGCTGGATACTATATTTCACAAACTATTACGTTGAAACTTTATAACGAGTGAAATTTCGATATGAAATACTACTTACAATCTTAAGCACTCGTACATGACATAATGATTGATACATTATTTCATATATGTATTTGTTTGGGAAAATTTGGAGAAAAGTATATTCCAACAGATATCAGAGAACATAATCTGTAATGTTTTTCATTCGTTCTTTTTCGTTATAAGTGTTATGGTAAAGTCTATTTAACGTTAAAAGCATAAAAGTTTAACATTATTCACTTTTTTTTTAAACTTAGTAAGATGAGCCTAACTATATGTTATTATAATACGTTCATGACGTGAATGTTTCACAAAAATGTAAAACATTTTTAAAGTCTTAAACGTTAAAAGTCTGATGAATGTATTGTATACATTTCATTACTATTTTGTGCAATGTGTAGCAATCGTGCTCACGATTCCTATGTACTTTGATTTTCCCTATAGCTTTTAAAGGAGTATATAGAAAAGTGAGGTATATAATCTGTATATAATCAGTTATGACGTGTTGGTATCTATAGTGAATTATATGTAACCATTGTCCACTTGACTTGACCACGTACATAAACACACTGGCCGACAGGTAGAATGTCATTGGTGAAAGCGCAACTTTATTTTATAACAACTTTAATCTAGGGCTAACACTATGAAGTTTTTATTGCTATAAAATAGATATTTCAGGGTATTTTACTTTATCGATTTCAAACAAGAGGAGTTATAGACGGCCGAATATGCCGCAAAAGAAGCACAAAGTTCGCAGAATTTTTATAACGTGCAATTAATTGCTTCACAATGAGTGGCTGAGAGTAAGTTGGCCACACTGTACATAAGTTCTTTTGCGACATTGCATATGGTCTTCCCGATCTCTGCCGGCATCATTTAAATGACAACTTAAGTACTTTAACTGCAGTTGCTAAATGCAAAATTTACTTCAAATTGCAATTGTTATGAGTTAGATGTGAGCCGTTTTATCCTATTTTGAGGTTCATTTTATCTAAGCGTAAAGGTAAAACAGTCCCTACCACAAGAAATGTATTTTTAATATATAAAAAATGTATTTGTCCAATCTTTGTTCCAACTAGAAATGGTAGTTATAATAAATAAGGGTTCCTTTTAAAATCTTTTGTTTTTGCATGATATTTAATAGGTGAAAACCACATTCAAAGTTAAGATAACCGTTTTACTCCACCTTCCCCTATGCACGTTAATAGACCGTGGATAGTTTTTAAATTGTCTTATTTTTTTATTATTATTAATGGTTGATCAATGTAATTGTTTAACTTGTTGGCTTTTGGACTGTGATATATTTTTGAATTACGCTGAAGGCGATCAATTATGTAGCAAACATGAACTTGAATAATCAGTTACGTTTATTTCATTCTGTATTTGTTTTGTTTGTAGTAAAGCACAAAGCTGCACAATGGGCTATCTGTGGTCTGCCCTCCACGGGTATCGAAACCCGGATTTTAGCATTGTAAGTCCGCAGACATACCGCTGTGCCACTGGGGGCCATTCTGTATTTACGATAAAATTTGTGTAATATGTTTGTTTCGAGTTAAGCACAAAGCTACACGAAGGGCTATCTGTTCTTATCAACTTTATAGTTTTCACTTATGTATATTTTACAAAGGTGGATGGTGCTATTATAGGAGGATAGTTCAATATTATTAATCAATAATATATAAACTCAATTGTATTTTATATCATGACACACCTGTGATTTACCTTTCATTGTTCTTTGAAAGTAGCCTGAAATCTAATTTTTGCCTTTGTCCAAACACTTTTGCACAGTACTGTATATGCATGTACTTGTGTGTTACAAAATTTTCTACTTCCAGACCATTTAAAACAATTAGCCTTTTAAGAGATTCAGTTCTGTGATAAATCTTTAGACTGTCTGCAGTTTTGGATCTGTGCAAGACACAGACATATATCTCTCAATGTCTATTACATGAGAAACTTTGTTTTATAGACTGTACTACAAAACCACCAAGTTTTATGACTTTTTAATTATATAGTATGTTTGTATTTCAAATGCATGTTTTATAAAAATGGTAATGTTGCTATTCTAAATAGTAAAATAATTGGATAAACAGTAAGTCATTCATTTATTATACTTTGTTGTAGCAAAATTATTTACTACAGAGTTTATTAACCATGTGTTAAAATTAGAGATATGAGTGAATGAGTTACATACATTAAAAAGGCTTAACATAAGAATACATTTAATCCATAACGCCAAACATTATGACTAGTGAAACATGCGTTATGTATATATGTATATATATAAAGTGAAACAATGTGTTTCTGTGTTAAATTATTGTATATTATTTAGAGATGTTAACATGAAACTTCCGTCCTTTTCAGGACAGATATTTGTAAATTGTGTGATAAAATCTGACACATGTAAAAATATTATAATAATTATATCATTAAATTAATGGTTTTACTTTTAAAACATTTAATTAAATCTAGACATTGATGACAAGTTTAGACACCCTACAATGAGATATCCTATTAAACTATCTGCCTATAATAATACCATCCACTTTTGTAAAATGTACATAAGTGAAAATTATAAAGTTGATAAGATCAACATTACAGATTGTTTTATTTATAAAGTGAAACCGTAAAAACAACATTATTAAATTTAAGACATTACATCACACCATTTATACGCACCCCATACATAATTGACATTTACAAACCCTAAATATGTACATAAATAATTGAAATCTGCTTAAAGAAAATAGCTATCTGTGCTCTGCCCACCACGGGTAGCGAAACCCGGATTCTAGAGTTGTAAGTCCGCATACATACCGCTGTGCCACTGGGGAGCGAAATACAAAGTAAACACACGTGAATAAGAAGGAGTAGTGTGTGTTTTTTCTTATAGGAAAGCCACATCGGACTATCTGCTGTGTCCACCGATGGGAATCGAACCGCTGATTTTAACGTTGTAAATCCGTAGACTTACCGCTTTTGCAAGGGAGAGAAGAGAGAGAAAAGGCAATAACATAATAATAATATGGGTGACATTAAGTGTCGTATTGCTTTTTACCTGTTTTTGTAAGCTGTGGAAGAGTAGTTTTCATGTGTATTAACCAGAAACTGGATGAAACATATTGATACTGCAGGTGAAGAAAAGAACTGGGACCTGACCTTCACTTTCAAAGCTCGTAAAACACATAAGCATCAGAACAAACAAGATGACTGTTTAACAGTTGTCGGGAAAGACATAAAGATCAGTGGATGATAGGCATCAGAGATTGCCTAGGTTTAATACAGCGAGGCTAAGAAAATCAAGAAGAATATACTTTAGAAAGTTTAGAGCCAAAAACACCGCTAACAATTTGTTAAAGAAAGTGGTCAGAGAGGCTTCTTGTGGTTTGCCTGTTACTCACTTTAAGCGTAGTTATTATTAATTGTTATTGTATGTTTTTAACAGCTCTTCTGGTAGAAGATTTACACAATTGCGTTTTCTCTTCATGATTCTCTTAAAAACAGATTACACGTAGTATGTTATAAAAACCTCATTCAACCGTATTCTTTTATTACTATTAACATAATCAAAAGAAACAATGAACTGATAAATTTGACGATATGATATTTAATTTAAATAAGAATTTAAAATGTACTAATGCATCTTTTATCGGCGTCTTTCATAAGTCACAACTCTTATATGACTCACTTGTCGTTTTATCGCCAGTTTTAGAAACAAACACACGAAATCTTTGAAAAAGAGTTATATTTTGTGATATAAATTAATATACAGCATCGCTATAGTGTCGATAAAAATCAACTGTGGTAAACATGGTGTAATGTTTATAGTAAAGTCACCGATTGAAAAGATAGGAAAATCCTAATTAGCTGATTTGTTTATAGGATACTAAATGAGTAGTGTTATTTTCTATAATGATTGAAATAGACTGTGACTCACTGCATAACTTTCCAACTCGGCGTCAGTCGGAGTGGATGTTTATTTATCTAAATTTCTCGCAGTAGCAAAAAACCTATAGGGTGGTCAATGTCTAAGACATCGGCAAAAGGCAGCTACTGCCAACAAGGAACACGTGGCACCATCTCAAAGCCCGTTCAATCTAGCCGTCTGAAAGTGAGTAACATTATAATGCAGGACAGAAAAAAGAAATTGATTAAAACTCGGAGGAGAGTGACACTTGCCTTAAGCTAATAAATGATGTCGCCACAACATGTCATTCAAGCAATTTAATCTTCCGTGCATCCAGACGACTTCGTCAATAAAGCCATTCATACCGTCATGAAATACGTGCGTTTCTGTAGGTCGAACGATATTTCCTTACTTTTGTCTATAGAATCATGTCGGTTATAGC